ATATATATATATATATATATATTATTATATTAATATATATATAATATTATATATGCACAATGGGAATACGTTACAGTTTTAATATTTTCTTCGCCTAATTTTATAGAACATAGTGGCAATGGCGTGACGTTGGCGTTAAATGTTGCCGATCATCGCCGTGAAGTGAGGCGATTAAGGCGAGACGCGACGAATGGCGCCTGGCAGCATGGGCCGCGTTCTCTTCCCTGATCCTCCCGATACTCGAGCTGCGTTTTGCCGCGCTAACGAGGAGACAGATAAGCCGTTCAAGGTAAATCGTCATCATTCCTGGATCCAATTCGCTACATCCATCTCAATGAGCCTATCGGGTCGACCGAGCCTCGAGCGATCGCGATTGTAACTCTCATCGCAATTGCGCTCTTATCTCATAATATTATATATAATTACAAACGCAAAATCGTATTAAGGCGACTATGAATAATGAGCAAACACATGTCCTTTTTTTGGCGTAAAATTTAAAATATAGCTACAATGAAAAAAAATTACATTACAATGCTACAAAGAAACGACTGTGCACGAAAAAAGAAATGGAAAAATACAAAATAATTGTGATACGAGGTATCGATAACATAAGGTCAAACATAATTGTCGATATAAAGATATACCTGTAATGACCGTATCGATAATGATCCTAAGAAGTTATTTAGTAATGGAAGTTTTTGTAACATTATTGATTGTGTGTTATCACAATCAATAATGACCTGAATCATTCCATATTATTGCAACCATATCAATATGGTTGTTAGTGCGTAAAATATTTATTTCCATAAATATTTACTCGCTTTACGATGCGCAAATATCTATTCTGCAAAAAAAAACAAACCTATTCTTTCTAATTGTAAGTCTTGCTTCTTATTATTTGTTGTCCATAATCAAGGTGGAATGAGATATATATTATATATAATATTGTAACAGATTTATTTTTAATATACGATATATATAAATTGAAAACTATGTAAAAAATTAATTCTACCTGTACGTATAAATTCAAGTTACAGTCACAAGTACGTGACACGCACGATGGAGAAGGCCGTAGCAAACTCTTCATTGCAAAGCAAAATTGGAGACAATAACTATCAGACAGAAAAAAGAGATTTAAATCCGACATCACACTGTAATGAAGCTCCTGCTATGCAACAGCAGACACAGTTTACGTGTTCTCTATACATTTCGCGTGCTGGCGGCTTTCAAGAACAAGGTTACAGGGTCCAAGGTGATAATATTTGCTGCATTCTGAAAAAAACTACATTCTAATATTTAATTTATAGTCGCATTTATGAATACATTAGGTGAATGCAAAAACTCGTGCCCAATTTATTATTCAAAATTCAAACAGCTGCTATTTTTGTTAAAAATGAAATAAAATCTAAATCTTACTCTACCTGATGAGAGAATTTAACAATCTGTTCTTTTAAATCGTGATAGTTTTGATGGAGTTATGGGTAATCAAAGTCAAAATATTCTTTTTATTTAATTCGCAACAATTCAGTAACAAAAAATCGTAGGGACATTTTTAAAAACAATTTTATTTAGGGAAAACTTTAAGTTTTTACATTAGAAATTCAAAAATTGCAAATTTTTTTAGATATGTGACAGGCCTACAAAATGAAAAAAATTCTCGTTTTACTTAACTCGTAGTTTTCTATATGTAAAAATTATAAAACTCACATAAATTAAAAAAATATAATAACCATTCGAAAGTAGAGATTTTAAGCTTTAAAACTCTTTTTTTAAATTAAAATTTCGTTTATTTTTAACAAAATTGCAGTTGTTTGAACTTTGAATAATGAATCGAACACAAATTTTTGCACTTACCCAATATATACTAATTTAATTTAAATAGTAATACGAGACTATAATATCTAATTATCTTTAAATAGAAATTTAATATTTACTTTATAGTGTCAGTTGAATAGCATAAAAAACATTCAAATAAGCAAACATTAATATTTTCTATTAATTTTGCTTTAGATCGATATTTTATTATTCATTCCTTGAGTAGATTGCGAACTGCTGCGAAGTCATCTCGAAGAAGCTATAGCGGCTGCCGAACCGCTATCGATGTGGCGTGTCTCTGAGACTCCATGTGGTCTTATAGCTGCTTTCGTACGAGAAAACGACGCTGAGAAACTTTTGCAACGCGGCGACTTAGCTCGAGTGTTTGGAGGACCAGTACAAGTACGAAGTTTATTTACACTCGATTTTACCTGACGCATTTTACACAGCATTACATACAGGCTTTCTGCAATAAACCATTACCTAAGCTTTAAATCTTAAACACTAAGAAATTGACTAATTATAGTCGATTATTCTTCTTATATTCAACTGTAACTGAATTTCTTATATACAGCTTAAGACTTAAAGCTTAAATAAAAGGCTTATTATAAAATGTGTGTTAGTGATATAAAAAATTGAGATATCGTAAAAATTTCTAGTGCATTTTATTGTTTCTTTGTGTTTTTTTTATTGAGATATTTCAAATATTTTATCATTTTGAAGCTATATTTGTTGCGCCAATTATGTTACTTAAAATGTCATTGTTATTTAAAACGTATTTTAATCAATTCTTGAACTAAATAACGAAATACTTTTAAATAAACTCTAAAAGCTAATTAAATATCTTTTGATTGATATATTTTACTAATTTACTTTTATCAGGTAGCACGATTTTCGGCAAGAGATTCCCGATATCGCCAAGCCGTGCTTCTGAGAGACGTGCCATGGGCTATACCGCTGCAGGATATAAATTCGGCTCTAGCAAAGCAGGGAATTATCGCAGGAAATGTTGAACGTTCTCGACAATTCGTTCGAGTAGAGGTGAAAAATGCTTATTTTCTATTTTTAAAGTAGCCTGTGATAACATCTTATCATTTCTATTGTGTAGACAAAGAAATATTAATTTAAAACAATGGAAACGTTCCTTGTCGAGCATCAAGAATAAAATTAAAATGTACATGACAATGTCGGTTGAGATGCGCATATCGTATCATTATTTAAATTCATATAAAAATGTAGAATACTATGCAATTCTAAACCAGTTCTCATAATGAAGTTCTATAGAACATCTATGGTATGTACATACAACCGGTTTTGTAAGTCAACTTTCGAAAAACCTAGCAGTCGACATTTGCAATAAAAAGATGAACGTGTTTCCTGACAAAACTAAAAACTGAGAATCAAATAGATAAGTAAGGGAAGAGCGACAGAAGCGTAAACGTCTCTTTTATGATGTCTCAATTTTCTTAATAGAAGCTCTTTGTTTACACTTCTGTCACTCTTCCCTTATATTTTACACTTCAATTTTTATTTTCGTCAGGATTAAGATAAAGATCGAATTTGCCCGTTACTTATTATTATTTGTTTTTATAAAGATCGAAACAAAGTCGACTATATATAACCGTTGATATAAGTATGATGTAAGAGAATATACAAATATAACATATGTAATACATAAATATAACTGACAGTTTGATAAAAAGTGAAAAATATTGATCTTTTGTCTCCTAGGTTTTTGATGCGGGTCATTACGAAGCTTTGTTACGTCAAGGTCTGGACTTTTTCGAAGTGGCTCGTTTTAATGCTGTTCCAGAACGCTGGTGGCGAGGCACCGCGTGCTCGTCCAGTATACCCTCACGATATGCAAACGATGGAAACAATATCCCACAAGCATATCAAGAAAATATATCGCAAACGGATAGTGTATTGCAATGCTACCGATGCCAGGGTTTCTGGCACGTGGCCGCTAATTGCCGACATTTACCTCGCTGCGTCCGCTGCGGCGAACCACACAGCGTTGAATTTTGTCCAAGGCCGCGGAATAACCCTATATGTTGCCATTGCTCCGGGCCCCACCACGCCGGTAAATCCTTTTCTTTGTAGAAGATCGTCTCTCCTCTTATTCATCTCTCACTAATATCCACTATATATATTTATGATGAAAAGGTAACGAACAAAGCAATATTTTTCTGTGTATAATTTAATTATATTAAAAATGTATACCTCTTGCTATGCATTTATTTCTTATATTTGGTACAATCGCATATGCCTCTAGCAATTCACGAGTAATCTTTGTTCCTTAGCTGTTATTGATAAATATATATTACTCGAATGATGATAGAAATTAAGTACATAACAGCTAGAAAGCGAAAGATACCAACGCGGAAAAGTCGATTTCTCGTCATTAAAAAAATGTGTGGAATATGAAAGTCGACCACGATTTATTTCGAAAATTGAATTGCAATATAAAAGAAATTACGTTTTATGCAAATCACCTTGCATCATGATAACAATGTCATGATAACAAATATTCCTTTCTGTTCATTTTCTGTCTATTAATCATATAAATGCAGTATTGAATAATTTGAGATAAGAAACATAAAAAAGAACTTTCTTATCGCAACATAGAAACAGAAAACATAAAAAAAAGAAGGTTCTTGTCGTAACATGTGGAACTCGATTAGAATTCGCTCCAAAAACTGAATCGGAATCTGTATCTACTTGTATAATAAATTACCTGGTTTTGCAAACTATCTTGTACTTGAACTGTGATAACAAATCCATTTCTATTTCTATCCTATAATCTATCACCAAAGTCCACGTGTATTATTGAAATTACCGATGTGTTACATTCATATATGGCACGACTATAATGTGTTTTCATTTTTTATTACAGGATATAGACAGTGCCCAGTCAGATTGCAGCTGTCTAATGCGACTCCCGTGAGCATTACGTTGAGCACGAGTGGGGTTCAATATCCAGCGAGCGCTACAAATAAATCGAATCCCTCGTGCCATTCTCTAAGACAAGGACACTGTTAAACAACGTCGTTTATAGTTATGCGAGGTCTACAATAGAAGTCCTAGCGGTCGTAGGATCTTAAGTCTTAGAAAATTGACCAATCACAATCGAATACGAGAAAAATAATTAACTGTGATTGGTAAATTTCTTTATGACTTAAGACCGCTACGACTTCTATTGTAGATCTCGCATAAAGAGAAGCATCGGTCTTATTAGCATCCTTTTCGAAATGTCGATGAAAGCGCATAACATCTCTACCTTACATAACGATTTATTACGAGTCACGAGTGAAATTTAGAGATTTACAGTGCCTTTCTATAAAATGTGGGAACACGTTGTTGGCATCGTCATTGCATACAACAAAAATGCTCTTCTATAGAGACACGCTATCTCGACTGCAAAAAATTTGCAAACAGCATATATTTACATAACATATAAGCAAGATACATTTTTTATGATTTTCATTTTTAAGACACTGTCGCTTTTTCAGACACTATTGTGTCTTATTTGTGTCATTTTTTAAGATTTTTATGGAAAATATATTGTTTTTATCAAATGTCTTTTGACGAATTGTTTGTTTAAGATCGTGAGGAAATCCGATAAAATGCAGTTTGCTTCTTTTTTTTCCAAGTTTGTAGGATTTTGTAAACTTGTAATTTACAACTATCCGTATTCCGCCGTTTCGTCCCACTTTCTTCGCCCTAGTCCTGCGAATGTAGGTCTCCCCACTAAGTGTCTGTCACTGCTACCACCAGGTAATACCGAGATCGTGGGAGGGAGTTGTACGCGGATGTCATACTAGCGCTACACATTCAGTCGTTCGATCGGCTACTAGTTCGGTTTGTTCAACTAATAGGTAGTGTCTTATAATTATGGACACACCGTTCGCGCGCGGAAAATTCGACCAGTCGATCGATTCTGGCGAACGATATCAGTCAAGTTAAGGGTATCAATTCCATTTTTTAACGGACAATTTTTGCGTGGAGTTTAAAGTATCTCCGCAAAATTTATTATTTTTTCTTCCATAAAAATACATATATGATGTGCCAAATAATATTTCAAGTAACGCGACGGGGTAAGTTCGACTTCATTTGCAGCAAACGTTTCGAAGGGATCGATTCATTATGTGTGAGTGTATTTCTTTTTATTTTAGAATCTTCTTCAAAAGATCGCTATATGTTTCTGCAGATGGCTAGATAATGTTCGTATTTGTACGAGGATTTCAAATAAAAAACTTTATGCATCGTAAAGGCAATTTTAAAACATGTGATATGAAGAACTTAAGAAACTGTGCAACCGCGTATTATGCGGCAATTACAAATGTGGATTGCACGAGTTCACTTACATACGTGGTGCACCACATTATTTTCAAATAATGTAACAAATGAAACGAAGATATGTGGAGATCCACAATAAACTGACTATCTATCATCAATTGTTGATTGATGGCATAAATCACTTGCGGGGTACAATCATTCTCTAGATGCGAATATATTTTGTATATGTTCGTAGTTTAGAAACAAAATTTTATGTTGTATCTCTGTTTGCCTGCGTTATATTTGCGACTAATTGCATAAAACGGAAGGAAGATCGATAGTTTGAAGGAAAAAATGTATTCGGTGTGCTTAACGGTTTTCCTCATCGTGTCGATATGCAGCTTGACCGCTCAGCAGCCAACGTTCTTCAGAAACACATTCAAGGGGTTGGGCGGCCTTACACCAAGCGCCGTTGCACTCATGAAAGATGAGATACGAGCCGTTTATTATTATGAACAGACAGTGGCGGTGGTCGATCTCGGACCGAGAAATGAACTACATGATTGTAATATAATCGAAGTATAGTAAGTGCGGTCACACGTCATAATAATGCACACAAAAACTATTATATAATTAGACTAGAAATTAAAACCGGTTTTCGCTAGTTATGTACATATACAGGGTGTCCCGAAATTTGCGAATCAAAATATCATAGCAAAAAAATTTGTGAAAAATTAAGTAAAAAAAGTTATATGTACATTTTATTTAAAGCAGTAGTTTTTGAAATACAAAGGTTCCAAAATAGCCAATTATATAGCCAATTATAGATTATGTTTAAACAGTCGTCTGTCCATGAATCGGTCACACGTGCAATAGTATTAGTAAGTGCGCATTTGGTGTTTAAACATAATCCATCTAAAAATAGAGTAATTGAGCCTTATTATTTCACAAATTATTGCTACAAATAAAAATTTATAGATAACATTCTTATTTAATTTTTTGAAAACTTTTTACTGTATTTTGATTCGCGAATTTCGGGACACCCTGTATATAATCATTCCTTTCATATTTCTTTTTATACGTAATGTTTGACACGCATCATTGACTCTTACAGTGAGCCGTCCGAGGCTACAGAAGTTTTGCGAAACTTATCAATGACTTTACATCCACAAGTGGTATCCTTCCAGGAGATAACGAGACTCATGCAACAATGTCAATTGTTGGACAAATTACAGGTGGAGGCCACGTCCACTTTGCCTACAAACGCATTGAGTAGAGGGACTCGCATAGCCGCGAGTTCCATAACTCTGTTTTCCGGCATTCTGCCAGGTTAATCGTTCATTATAATTTCAAACCCGCAGAATTGTAAAATTTGTTAACGAAGGCTAAATATGTACATATTCCAGGCACAAAATGGTGCGGCACGGGCGACATAGCCGAAAATTATCATGACTTGGGCGATTTACCTCATATTGACAGGTTGAAAGCCATAATTTACCAATTTTTACAAATATCAGGGAAGTAAGACAAATCTTTATGTTTTTCAGATGTTGTCGTAATCACGATCTTTGTCCAATAAAAGTACGAGCCCAACAGACCCGATACAATCTCACTAATTATTCAATATTCACTAAGTAAGATCTTATCAGAAATTCGTTAAAAAAATCAATTAATCTATTTTGATAAAAAGTTTTAGTGTGTCTTTAAATTAATATATCATATTATTATTAATTATTAAATTTTCTTATCATGCTAAAATTTAAAATTATCTTTACCTTAAAAATTATCTCTGTTAATTGTCTCAAAATTCTTTCTGTAAGACAATCAGTCTTAAGTGTTTAACATTTTACAGATCACATTGTACTTGCGACCAAGCTCTTTATCAATGTTTAAAAGCTGCTAACCATCCAACGGCGAATTTCATGGGACAAATATACTTCAATATCGTTAAAGTGCCGTGTATAGAAGATATCGGAAGGAATCAATATCCATTAAGAAAATTTGTACCTGTAAAAAGGGAATATTAATTATAAGATACTAGCAGCATATGTATATAGATGTGTTATATTTAAAAACTCGGTATATATATGCTACGTCCAATGATAAATGAAATTAATATTTAGAATTGTACATACAATGAAAGGGATATAAATATATTTTTATATTTGCATCGCGTACTTTATAAATTATTTTTACAAGCATAAATGTACCTTTCTTTGAAATAAGATGTCACTTTAACGTGCATTTACACTCATACAGAATTTTCAACTGAGGAAAAAGCCTGATTCAATGCTGATAAAAAAGGTATAAGATCTCTTATATTTTTACTAACACTAGGTGATTTATGATTGTACAAATTTCCTGCAACACACAACAATTAGAATATAATTATATTTCATTCCTATTCCATATCTTTTTTAAAAATATTGAAAAAAGATCGTTACCTATTAACCATATAGTTTCTCTTCTAATGTGCATATAAGGATGCGATAACAATTTATTCAATAAAATATATAAATCTTCGTTTGAGTATTTCGGATTCCTCAAAAGAATATCTATTCTATCTTCATAGGAATTATGCAATGTGTTAGCTAGAATACGTATAGATGCTGTAATCTAAAATAGAGTTAAAAAAATGATTCTTAATATTAGAAAATTTTATATTTTGTTATATAAAAAAGAAAAAGCAAACCTCGCTGGCTTGAACAATTCCATCTGAATTAGAAAATGTTAAGTAAAGATAGTCAACGACTTGTGGCAAGATAGTGTACAAAGATTCAGTACATATTGGTGAAGAGGACAATAAAGCTAATAACCAAATATAACTAGGATTTTTGTACAAGAGATTCCGTTTTATGGTAACTTCAATCAGCTCTGACATTTCACTTTCTCTGCAAATATCAGAAAAATATATTAAATTTTTTCTTATAAATTTTACATTTTTATATTGCAATGTGTAAAAGTGAATAATACTTACGATATCTTATAAAATCCAACATATATGTAATGTAAGAGCGCATATATTACAGAAGGAAGAACTGAGTCGTCACAATTGTGTAACAATAAAATTACATATTTCAGGCAATGCTGAGCATGCAAGATAGAGAAAGCCTTATTGCTTCCTGCAACTAAATTCCCAATTGTCCAAATGCAAACATCCTAATAAAATACAAGTACTTCAAGTTTATTTTACTTTATTGTCTTTTATATATATATATATATATTATTT